GGGAAGAAACACTGTTTAGTATTTACAGCTTTTCCCATTTCCCATGTGCAGTGTTCAAAGGTGGTCATTGACACAAAACGTGAACTACACAAAATATGTCGGACAAGCCTACTGAGGAGAGGCCGACCAGAGAATAGCCTATGGCAAAACATGCAAAACAGATGATGTGCCTAAATTTCTTTTATAATTAACCTTTTCTACTGCGTATTTAACTAAATACAAAACAAAAGTTGAGATTGATTGTTGTGTAAATTATATTTTTACTTACAATTGTTATAAACCATAATGATTTTAATGCCTATAAATACTATATGCTATCAAAAAATACATTCTACAACAATAAACATACACAATTTTACAATTCTCAACAAATATATCAAAATATTTCTAAAAAAGATTTTTGTGAATTTTTTTCTGTGACTTTATTTCTGTGACTTTTTTTCCGATAAATTTTTTCCATTGTGACTTTTTTCCGTGACTTTTTTCCTAGCAAAAACTGTGACTTTTTTTCTGTGGTTTTTTTTTCCTGTGACTTTTTTTTCCGTTCACCTCTATTTCAACACACCGTTTTACCAAACAAGTGATCAGCCTCTCTCTACTGACCAGTCTCAACATACAATATTTCAGCCACTCTCAAATTTCTAGTATTACCATGCAAGAGATCATCCTCTCTCAATACACCAGTCTTACCATAGAAAAGATCTGCCTCTCTCAACACACTAGTCTTACGACGATACAACAAATCAGCCTCTCTCAACTGACCAGTCTTACCATACAAGAGACCAGAGGCGTAGCGACCCTTCCCGGCGCCCGGGGACAAACTTTTCGATTTGCACCCCCCTCAAGATTTCGATTTGCACCCCCCTCAAACATTCGATTTGCACCCCCTCCCCTCAAGATTTCGATTTGCACCCCCCCCCCTCCCTCAAACTTTCGATTTGCGACCCCTCGACCTTTCAATTTATTTTTCCAACCCATTTTGGCGCCCCCTAAGGTCGGCGCCCCCAAGGTCGGCGCCCGGGGACATATGTCTCTCAACACACCAGTATTTGATGCCCATTTTTAAAGATAAGTAAACCATATGTAAATACTTATTAGTTAAAACCATACCTAAACATCTCTACTAATAATTAACTCATAATGTATAATAAACTCAAATATTAAAAATGTGAGCAAAAATAATAATCTAGATATTATTAGGTGATAATGATAATTTAATAACATAAACATAACGAACTTACGATCCTTGGACAAAACGAACGCTTGTGGCTGAAACCGAAATTTTTCGGTTCAAAACGGCTGAGCCTGCGCGTGCACAGATAGGCGGTTTGGCAGCGAGAGTTTTAGACCGAGCAAACCGGCTATCTTTTAAAACCTGCTATAATTTTGTAAAACTCATTTTAAAACGCTACAGTACATTCGGTTGAGAGTTTCTTCGCACATATAGATCTACATAAAATGATTTTTAATTAGAGCGATCGAGAATGAAACAATCAGTTTTTTGTCTCTCCTATAAAATTTACTTTTTCGAACGAGAATATGCGAATATTTGAATCGATCTTACCTTCACGTACTTACATCCTTACGGTGACAAAAGCGTGTATTCAGTGTACTTTTTAGCTCTGAAGTGTACCTGACTCTCGTTAGGGAAAGTAAAGACGGTTGGTCTTAGTTCTGAAAACACCATCTCTTCATATGCCTAGGCCACTGAAACAGGTTAACTCTATTCCACTGGTCCCATGGACTGTCAGGTTTCAAAGGACCGGCACTGTACCTATCGTTATTTGTCATGCTTCGGGTATTTTAGGACGTATCTAGCTGCCATTTCGACTTATTTTGGCCACAAAATGTTTAATGAATTTAGTAATTCATTTTTAATGTAATGACTTATTATGGCTTTGCAAAACACCAGACCTAAGTTTATATACATCTACAACCAGGCTATAGAACTTTATTATATCAAAGGTTTTCATATTTTTAGATAATTGCATTGTGTAGAACAGCTATCCTATCATCCTATCCTCTACATCTGTTGGACGGTTGTTGAGGCACCATGTTTGCCTATGCCCCAATGCCTTGTCATCCATCTGGTGCTTTCAGAGAGTTTGCAAAAGACGATCCGGTCGCGTCCTCAATGTCATCCAGCCAGTTTCTCCTTTTTTTACCCTCGCTATCTGTTCACCAGTGTTTCTTCCATGCATCTTTTCGGGGGGGGGGGGGGCTCCGTCCCGTCACTCCAGAAGAAAGTCTACCCCCCCCCCACCCCCAACTAAATGGAATTCATATAACAAACATATTTTATCTGTGTCCGCCCCCTCCCCGGAAAATATCCGCCCCCCCCGAAAATATCAAAAGCCCCCCCCCCCCCGGAGAAAAAAGTTTGGAAGAAACACTGCTGCCCCCCCCCCCCCCTTTTTTTTCATATGCGTACAATAAAACATCAGATATCTCATTTCTAGGACCTAGACCTTCGCTTGGAGCATGTTTTGGGTGTTCATGCCTCTCATCCTTGTATGCACATTACTATTCAAACAGCTTCCAATCTAGCACCAGCAATCTCCTTAAACGGTCTCGTAAAAGGGGAATATTATTGAGGCATAACAACATTACATCGCTAAGTCCCATTTATTATTTATGCTATCGGTAGCTTGAGCTACCTTATATGAAGAGAGTTAAACAGTATCTCAATCTGTTGTTGACCGAACCCAATGACTGAATCTTTTCAGCTAAATCGTGACCATTGATATTATTTTGGTTTGTTATAATTTTAATATGATGTGCAGGTGAACTTAGAGCACGACTAAATTAGTATATATACTGGATTCGAATACTTCAGTTAGTTTAATTATGAAAACTTAGAAGAATTTTTTTTACATTTGTCAAACAAAATTTTTTTTTAATATTTTAATACAATAATATATAGTCCGCATTGCGCGGTTCGCTCCGCGTTACGCGTAAGGCCGCCTTTGCGCAGTTCGCTCCGCGTTACGCTTAATCTTTACCCTAGGTGGCACGCGATCTCAAAAAAAACACATATCAGGACTGTCCGATTTTTTTTTCGTGCTATTTTTTATTATTTTGTTTACCACTGGAACGAAATGTGGTCCATAGTGAATTTATATAACTAAACCCATGGAGCAGCAACTGGACCCATATAGTTAACTTCTATAAATCTGTAGTGTGTGATGAATTGCAGTAGTAGTTTTTTTTTTTTAATTATTATTATTTCAAAAAGGTGTATTGATATATTTCTATTCAACAATTAAAATTTACTATAAATGTTATGCTATAATCAAGAAAGACAGCACACTTAGAAAGAAAATACGACAGCCGTAGCGCATAATAACGCATGTTAACACATTATATGAAAGCGTTAACACATGTTAACACATTATATTACGTTGTTACGTAAAAATTTCGCCAGTCATAGCCTGGTTACGTAACTTGCGGTCATATTACATTCAAATCCCCGATGGTTGAGTTAACGTTCACCCCAGAAATATATACCTAGTTGCGTAATAGTGAAAACTCGGTGCATGTTCAAAGTCGGGGTTTAATTTAGTGACACCTCAGGTCAAATGTCAGACTGACCCAATAGTCCTGTCACGTGGCGACAAGGTCATTTGAAGCTAAAGTATTAGTGAAAGAACTGTTCTTGCGGTTACATGATGATGTGATACAACACATATGGTGATGTGGTACAATAAATGTAATCAGTTGGTCGTGTCACTGATAGGACCATACAAGTCGGATACAGGGCTGTATATGATGTGGTATAGAGCTGTATATGATTTGGTATGGGGCTGTAAGTGGTACATGGCTGTATGTGATGTGATAGAGGGTTGTATGTGGTGTGGTACAGGGCTGTATGTGATGTGATACAGGGCTGTAAGTGATGTGGTACATGGCTGTATGTGATGTGATACAGGGTTGTATGTGGTGTGGTATAGGGCTGTATGTCTCGAGTTCGAACACTCGGGCAGATGAGGCTCTGAAGCTGGGGACAGCCACTCTTCTATAAGAAACAACTCCAAAAATCAAACAACTGCTGTCTTGTAGTTTGTTCTTGTTTGGCCAAAGGCTGTGGAAGCAAATCCAAAAAGAAAAGCAGGCAGAAATCGGAGTCAACGGCCTTAATGGCGCATAACCAGTTGACAGATATCCGTTCAACACTAAAATTAAGAACGAAGAATAAAATATTAAAACTGGGAAATTTAACTATTTGATTTGTTTTCTTTTTAAAAAAAAACTCAATGAATGGTTGATGTAGAAAATATAGATCTATATGCCTCCAAAATATACAAAAATAATCCTTTTTACTACGAAATTATTTAAAATGTTTTAATTCATATAAATAATTGTAATTTAAAACAAATAGCTTGTACGAATTTAAAACCCGTCCTCCATTCACCAAAAGTATGGCTTAATATTTCCCGGGCAAAATCTTTCCCTTTGACAAGATCGGTAACTCAGACAAAATCCTCTCAAGAAGAGAAAAATGTATAGGTTCTCTCCCCTTAACATGAAAAATTGCGACAAAGAACGTATGTTTTATTACATCCATTCACTTTATCATGTGAACCTTTATGGCAAATAATGCTGCTCACGACATCTGTGGCTAACATGTCTACAAATGGGTGATTTAATTTATCTCAACCACAAGTCTTTATGCTGATTTTTATAATTTCATGCTGTGCTATGATGCAAAGACCCCCTCCTATCTTGTTTTAAGTATGTAGAATCTAGTAGCTTACTATGTAGTACTAACTAGAACATGTAGCTTACTATATAGTATTAACTAGAGCATGAAGGTCTTTAAATTTAAATGTCTCCACACACACTTATATTTAAACTGCAAACATCCAATTGAACTATATATAAAAGCCACAGTTTGAAAAAATTAAATTAGGACCATTCTTCCGGGGAAACACATGCAACCACAAACAAAAGAACAGGCTAACTTCTTTTAATCGTTTATTTTATGAAAATTCAATGACACTTTTGCACCACTGTTTTCCACCAGCTTGGCAACTGTCTAATTCACTGGAAACGTGGAACAACCAACTAGAAGAATATTTGATGCAACTTTTACATACAGGTAGGCTGAAACAAAATTATAGAGGGAAGGACAATGAGATTTGAATGCAATATAAAAGAAACACAATGTATTTAAAGAAGAAATTGTTTTAAAATAGAATTGAAGCTAGTAGTTAACATAGACTCACCAAAATTGTGGTAGATTATAACACTTGTGTAAGTTTTCAATGAAGACAGAACTGTGCCACTGTTTCACACACTGCCATTTATACATGACTGGAGGATGTTCCACTATTCACATGGGAAAACTTTGGGTCAGTGATGGCTGAAACAAAAATTCAAGACACACAATCTGAATGTAAACAAAACACAAAATAGTGGATTTTTGGTACCTGGTGATCTCCATGGCTCCTGAAATAAAAAGATTAAAATTAGTAGCAAGTGCAAAAATAAAATACAAAGACATACTTTTTTAAACATAGCCCACATGTCAGATAATTTAAAATGCTATTTCCGACATACCTGTCTTGAAAACAATTGTTTCCCTTGGCGAAGCAAAGTTTCTTCCCTTGTCTCCATCTTTACCTCTAAACACAATGCTTAACTATCTCCTGTAGTTGTTCTGACCAGTTTAACCTATTGAATAGGAACAAAAGAAGTTTTCTGTTTGTTTATAGAACATAAAAAATTACTCATCAACCCACCTGTGATAAACATCATACATGTGTTATGCACACATCCCATGATCTTTCTGAAAACAGAAAAATAAAATATGGCTTCTGAACAAAAATTTCAAACGCAAAAATAACATAACATGTTAAATTGTAAAATTGTAAAATGACAAATGTACACCAAATATACATACCTATAAGAAAATCATTGCATTGACAGATTGGCAGCCCCACATCAAAGATGGTAGACTATTCAAGGTACATTATCCTATGTCTTTCACATATCCTCACAATAGGCCCATAGGGGCCAGTAGTGCGCATTACATTTCATGTATATGAAGGCAAGTTAAAAAAATGAACAAGAATTTCAGCCAAAAAAGACCCTTGCTAGCTATATGTGAGTTGGACAGCCCAAATTTTAAGCTGTTTAAGTTCTATACATTATATCAAGAAAGGCTATAAAAAAAGATGCAATGGTCAACTTGCCTGTCCAGACAGCTTCGGCTCCTCTTGACTTGATTTGACCTGGCTAGGGAAGAGAAGAAAACATGGAATTATATTAGCTTGATCCCGAACACCACTCGACCGTCTCGAGTGCCCTCCCTGCTCCCCCCTACACAAGGCATCGCTACCAGGTGCATTGGATCATTACAGTTTGGGAAAGTGTCGGTCTCCGAACACAAGTCGAACCACTTCCTCCCCACCTTCAGGCAGCGCTACCATCGGGAAGGGACTGGTAGCCCCGTCTGTGTGGAGAACAAGCTGCTAGAAAACAAAAAATGAAATGGAATTAGTTAACAATGACAGGCTGTGCTAGAAATAGAAATGGAATTAGTTGACAATAACAAGCTGCATGGGAAAAAAAAGAAATGGAATTGATTAGTTAACAATGCCCAGACACCGCTCGCATTATGAGGCCCCCGCTGCTCCCCCTACCCACGGCAGCACTACCGAGTGTAAGGTTTCACAGCGTGGGAATGTGCTGGGATTCTCCATTACAAGTCGAACCACTTCATCCCCCTCATCGGGCAGTGCTACCCTCAGAGGAGGAATGGTAGCCCTGTTAGTGCCGGAGACCTAAATACCTGGGAGAAAAGGGAGAGAATTTTATTAGTAACATCAACAGCTAACTTAACCATCCACCTAACATCAACAGCTAACTTGCTCCTGTAGACTGGCTCCTGTAGACTTGCTCCTGTATGCAGCCTCCTGTATGCAGCCTCCTGTATGCAGCCTCCTGTAGACTGGATCCTGTAGACTGGCTCCTGAAGACTGGCTCCTGCATGGGCCCACCGGTGTGATACAACCACTACTCGCCCACCCATCAGCCCCCGCCACTGGCTGGCTAGACCAATCTTGCGAACCTCCGAATGGGGTTTCCTGGCCAACACATCGGAGGGGGGACATGCCGCTGACCCATTGGTGATATAACCCATAGTAACTCATGCTTTCGGACCCCCGCCACCGGCTAGCCAGACCGATCTTGGGAGCCTACGGCATGTGCGTTCTAGGCGCACACCTCCGGGGATCCTCGTGAAGATGTGACTCCATCCCAGCCCGGCTGGACCAGTGAGCGCTAATTCCCAGAACTGGTACACAAGAGCAATGCACCGTCAGTATGGGGCTTTTCACGACTACACTCAAGGGGACATCGTCACATGTGCCGAAAACTGTAAAATATAAAATAGAGCAAAAAAAAGTTAGTTAACAATACCTAACAAACAAGTAGGCCTGTCCAACTACATATTGTAGCAAGTGATGCGCTGAATGAACAGCTAGCGACGGCGGTTGGTCCAGATTATGCCTTTACATACCATTGGTCGACCTTGGCTCTAATTTTTTTTATTGTGAACTGAATTCACTCACGTGACAAACACACGACTAAAAAACTACTCCCCCCCCCCCCCCCCCCAAAAAAAAAATCAACTCTAACAATAGAAAACCTGTTTCTTGTTTAATTGACTTGTGTTTACCTCCCCACCCCCTCCACATTAACTTTTTTTGGTTGTGTTTTACAGGTGGAAAAATTAACTGCAACCTTTGTGTTAACAAAAAATAATGACGGTATTCATTAACAATCTTCACGGATTGCTGACTACATTACCACCCCTCCCCCTTCTTAACCCTAATTTCTGACAGTAAGTGTAAACCTTTCAATACCACCGCCAATCTAACACACCTGTTTTCTGATGAGCCAATCGTCGGACTTCGGTCGCTAATCTCAATACTCCAAATGATTATATATACACAACTCTACAAACAATTAAAAGGACGCATACGCCAGATAGTTTGAATGATTTAATGGCAGACACAACACAGACAGAGGCGTAGCGAGGGTGAGGGGGGGGGCGGGGGGTGCGGACCGCACCGGGTGACACCATTTAGGGGGGGGGGGTGACAGAACACACACACACACACACATGGAGACACAGACAGACACACAGGCAGAAACAGACACCGACACAATCAGACAATAAAATGGGAGAAACCATGTTTTTCAAAAGGGGTGAATAAGAGAAAACATCGACATCGGTGGACAAACCATTACAAAATAAGGGGGTGGCAGGTCAAATCATTGTAATGAAAAGGGATGACAGGACTTAAATATGGCTGTATTGGAAACATACCTCACAGACTAAACTGTTACGTAACTGGCTTGACTGTCAGAACCCGACTACGTAACTTGTGTTCATATTACGTCATTCAAATCCCCAACATATGGCTGTATTAGAAACACAACTCACAAACACATCACAGACTAAGCTGTTACGTAACACTTTCTCCTGTCATAGCCTGGTTACGTAACTTGCGGTCATATTACATCATTCATATCCCCGATGGTTGAGTTAAGTTCATTTGTTCACCATAGAATTATGTACCTAGTTATGTAATAGTGAAAACATCAGTGCTTGTCCGAAAGCGAGGTAATTCAGCGACATCTCAGGTCAAATGTCAGATTGACCCAATAATCCAGACACAGAGACAAGTTAAAGTTGTGGCGACAAGGTCATCTGGAGGTCAGGTTCCAGTGGTAGAAATGTGCATGAGTGAGAGAAGAAGGTCTTATGATGATATGGTAAAACATTTTTAATGATGTGATATAATGTTGATGTGGATGTGATTCAATGATTATTATGATATGATTAATAGATTATGATTATGTGGGGAATTGCTGATGGGGGTGTGGTACAATTATTATCATGATGTGCTACAATGCTTTTGATGATGTGCTAAAATTCTTGTGATGACGTGGTACCATGTCTATAATGATGTGGTACAATACGGGTGTGGATGTGGTAGAGGACTATATGTGATGTGGTTCAGAGCTAATTAGCAGTGGTTACAAAACTTTACATGAAATGTTCTAAGGCAGTTCATAATTTATTATAGTGTGATATAATAATTAGAGGCATTCAATTTTTTCACATTAAAAATCTGTCACATTAAAAATCTGTCACGTTACAACTATGTCACGTTACAACTATGTCACGTTACAACTATGTCACGTTACAACTCTCACATGTTACAACTTGGTCACGTTACAACTATGTCACTTTCAGTGCCGGCGCCAGGTTATTTAGCGCGCTAGGCAAACTTATTAAAACGCCCCCCCCCCCCCATTTTAATTCTGGTTAGGATCGTGTGGTGCCAACAATTAATTTAGATTGAAAATCTGAATCTCTCCTTGGCTAACGAGATTTCTAATTCAAAGTGAGAGAAAATCTAAATTGCACAGGCGCCAATCCAAAGGGGCGCTTAACGCGGTAGATAATAATATAAAAAGCTCATTACTGAATTATATACAGTCGAAATAAAGAATGTTGACTGCTACTTGGCATTATTTAATTATTTTCTACATCAATTGCTTTACAACAAATTAAAAGGCAAACTGACAGGTAAAAAGCGCCCTCACATTTAGCAGTGAGAGAGGTGGGGGGCGCATTTTTACCGACCCTAATAATTTTATATAGGCTTAATTTGAAGATGGGCGCAGAATTGATAGCTCGTCCCGGGCTCTGAAATAGATCGCCCTGCCTTTGTATATTATCCTAAACTTTAAAGTTTATATAATGTAATCAATGTTATTCATTATTGGGTTTGTATATTACCCTAAACTTTAAAGTTTATATAATGTAATCGATGTTATTCATTATTGGGTTTGTATATTACCCTAAACTTTAAAGTTTATATAATGTAATCAATGTTATTCATTATTGGGTACTTTTTACTATTGGAGATTACACATTTTTTGCGCACCCCTATGGTTAGCGCGCTAGGCGACCGCCTAGTTCGCCTTATAGGCAGCGCCTGCCCTGGTCACGTTACAACTATGTCACGTTACAACTATGTCACGTTACAACTATGTCACGTTAAAACTATGTCACATTACAACTCTGTCATGTTACAACTCGGTCATGTTACAACTATGTCATGTTACAATTCTGTCATGTTACAACTCTGTCACGTTACAACTATGTCACGTTACAACTATGTCATGTTACAACTATGTCACGTTACAACTATGTCATGTTACAATTCTGTCATGTTACAACTCTGTCACGTTACAACTATGTCACGTTACAACTATGTCACGTTACAACTCTGTCATGTTACAATTCTGTCATGTTACAACTATGTCATGTTACAACTATGTCACATTACAAATCTGTCATGTTACAACTCTGTCACGTTACAACTATGTCACGTTACAACTATGTCATGTTACAATTTTGTCATGTTACAACTATGTCACGTTACAACTATGTCATGTTACAACTATGTCACGTTACAACTATGTCATGTTACAACTATGTCACGTTACAACTATGTCATGTTACAACTATGTCATGTTACAACTATGCCATGTTACAACTCTCCCATGTTAGAACTATGTCATGTTACAACTATGTCACTATACAACTCTGTCACACAACAACTTTCTATAACAGGTGCATGTGTGTTGATCAGCGTGAATTGAGGATCATCCGACACAATTCTATACGGTTGTTGACGTATTGAACAATTCCAAACAAGTGGAAGAGAACGGAGTCTCTTAAGTTATGAGTATAGGCACAGGTCACCTTAGAATCTTGTGACGTCAGAATAATGACCCATCTCAAGGTCGTGTTGTTGTGACTTGGGACAAGTAATTTGGAAAGAGTCTATTATCTGACAAAGGTAGGACGTTTATTTGAAGAATGGACAAAGCAGGTCAAACCATTGTCATGAAAAGGGATGACAGGTCTAAAATATGACAGACTAAGCTGTTACGTAACTGGTTTGACTGTCATGACCCGATTACGTAACTTGTGGCCATATTACATCATTCAAATCCCCAACATATGGCTGTATTAGAAACACAACTCACAAACTCATCACAGACTAATCTGTTGCGTAACACTTTCTCCTGTCATAGCCTGGTTACGTAACTTGCGGTCAACATTCAAATCCCCGATGGTTGAGTTAAGTTCAAACGTTCACCCCATAATTATCTACCTAGTTGCGTAATAGTGAAAACTCAGTGCGTTTCCAAAATCGAGGTTAAATTCAGTGACATCTCAGGTCAAAAGTCAGATTGACCCAATAGTTCTGGCACAGCGTCATGTTGAGGTTGTGTCGACAAGGTCATTTGATAGAACTGTGCTTGAAGTCACATGATGATGTAATACAACACATATGGTGATGTGGTTTAAAAAATATGATGATGTGGTGCATAAATATAATCTGTAGGTCGTGTCACTGATAGGGCCATACATGTCGGATACAGGGCTATATGTGATGTGGGTACAGGGTTGTATGTGGTACATGGCTGTATGTGATGTATTACAGGGCTGTATGTATATGGTACAGGGCTGTATGTGATGTGGTACAGGGCTGTATGTGATGTATTACAGGGCTGTATGTGATGTATTACAGGGCTGTATGTGATGTATTAAAGGGCTGTATGTGATGTGGTACAGGGCTGTATGTGATGTATTACAGGGCTGTATGTGATGTATTACAGGGCTGTATGTGATGTATTAAAGTGCTGTATGTGATGTGGTACAGGGCTGTATGTGATGTGTTACAGGGCTGTATGTGATGTGATACAGGGCTATATGTGATGTGGTACAGGGCTGTATGTGATGTATTACAGGGCGGTATGTATATGGTACAGGGCTGTATGTGATGTGGTACAGGGCTGTATGTGATGTATTACAGGGCTGTATGTATATGGTGCAGGGATGTATGTATATGGTACAGGGCTGTATGTGATGTGGTACAGGGCTGTATGTGATGTGGTACAGGGCTGTATATGATGTGGTACAGGGCTGTATATTATGTAGTATAGGGCTGTAATTAGTACAAAGCTGTATGTGAAGTGGTACAGGGCTGTATGTGATGTTGTTCAGGGCTGTATATGATGTGGTATAGGGCTGTATGTGGTACATGGCTGTATGTGGTACAGGGCCATATGTGATG